TTCATTTCAATAATACAATGTACTTACAAAAGTTATACATCTACAACAGTTTTCTGACGTAATAATTAAATGTCTTATTAATTTTTGATTGATGTTTTTCCCTACATATTCGCTGGTTGGTAGCTTTTTTTATGATTGAAGGATTACTGGTGGCCCGGAGGCCTTTCCAGCTTCACCAGGACAGGTGGGCGAGCAAAGGCTCAGCCACGAGCGGTGGGATTTGCTAAAGTTTCTCGCCGGGTCTTCTCAGCGGGTCGCGATTCCGATCCGGTTCCGATTCATTCGCAAAGCAGCTGCTCTTGAGTTGTTAGGGCTCGTACGGAGGCGCTCGGGCAGCTGTTAGTAATTCCCACCACTCCTGAACCACCAGTAATCAGTAATTAAAAAAAAAGAGCAGTGCTTCGTAGAATCTACCACCGGATCGAAATCGCGACCCACTGAGAAGATCCGGCTAAAAACTCTGTGGGCTGTGTCTATGGGTTAGTTCGCTCGTCGAACTCGTGACCATTTGTATATAAGCGATGTATACTGTCTTTATTTCGAAACTAAATTAAGCCTGAATCTGCGCATTAAAAGTCACTTCAATGAAGACGTTAAATCGATTTTTTTTTCGTATAGAGCGCTTTTGTTTTAATTAAAAATTGTCATACAAATTAAAGAAATTATTGATCGGACGACAGCTATTTCCGTGATGAAATCGGAATACAAATCACATATTGAGAGGTGAAAGCATATTATTTGGCTTAAGGTACATTTTTGGAACTTTGCTTTAAATGTTTAAATTTTAAAAAAAATTCAAAAAACTTCTTCAACTTTTTGAGTGGAGTAAACATAATTGAAGTTCAAATTAAAGCATCGAATTGTTGATACTAATCACTACATAGTATAAAACAAAGTCGCTTTCTCTGTCCCTATATCTGCCTGTCCCTATGTATGCTTAAATCTTTAAAACTACGCAACGGATTTTGATGCGGTTTTTTTTAATAGATAGAGTGATTGAAGAGGAAGGTTTATATGTATAATAACATAAATAGTGGAGAAATCAATAATAAATTACAGTTTCCGAAGCGAAGCGAGAGCGGGTCGCTAGTACCGAATAAAACAGACCTTTATTTACAAAGATAAGTATCGCGTATTAAACAAAATGTCGCTTAAACCATAGAGCCTTTCACTCCCCAATATGTATTGCCACACTAATTTTACAAAACTTTACCAAAAATCTTTCTATCTTCTGCAAATAAAATCAAACTTTTGGCGTTTCTAAATAAGTCCCCAAAAGTTCAAAAACCTTTGTGCCCGGAAACAGCTTAAGACTCGCGTTAATCTTCCCACCGGGCTGTTTGTTGCTAACGCTAGTATCATCGCGTCCCAATTCTTTTAAAAAACCTTAAATCCGTTCAGTGTCTGACGCAATACAGACAACAAAGAGATTTGCATACGTTCCCGGACGAAGTAGGCCAATACGCACGTGTTCGAGAAAAAAAAACAAAACACAAATCTAGAGCATTCAAAAAACGACCGTATGCGTTCGCGATTTGAACTAGAATGCGATTACGTTAAATACTTGAATTGATTCAAACGAATACAATCCTTAGCGCTCTGTTTTTGAGTGTTTATTTATTTGCGTCGCGTTATGAGTTTCAAAGGAAAGTTTGTTGTTGAATGAAGCCTTTGATGCACAAAGGAGGCATTATAAGAGGCAAAGTAAGGAGAGAACAGTAAGACGTCTTTATATACGGGGTGTTAATTTCGCTTTACATTTACATTATAACAATACAATGTGTTAAAAAGGACACATCGTATGTATCAAGACGTATTTGTTTATTATTATCCTTTTATTTATGTTCTATATGTATTGATTGTAATTTAATTTTGATAATTTTTTCTATTGCTTAGATGGGTGGATGAGCTCACAGCCCACCTGGTGTTAAGTGGTTACTGGAGCCCATAGACATCCACAACGTAAATGCGCCGCCCACCTTGAGAATAGGTTCTAAGGTCTCAAGTATAGTTACAACGGCTGCCCCACCCTTCAAACCGAAACGCATTACTGCTTCACGGCAGAAATGGGCAGAGTGGTGGTACCCACCCGCACGGACTCACAAGAGGTCCTACCACCAGTAGGTGGTTTGAATGTGTGTGTACGTAATAGTACGTATATTGATGGATAATTGCTATGATGCTATGATAATAAATGAATGTATGTATGTAATCATAAAGCACGCTTGAACCATTATGAACTGAATATCTAACAAAGTACGGTTAGTTCTTTTTTAAATTTCCAACTGTAATTTTTTTGCCTTGGCGTTACAGTTAGTAATCACAATTTTGACTTAAAGTGTACTATACAGATATCTGAGTTAAAATCATACTATAATAAATGCTCTTAGGAGGGTATTTGATTCAGCGTTCCATTGTACCATCACTTTCTAAGTCAACGGAGCTTCACTCTTGATTCCTGGTGCCACAGAATCCATCTACAGTGTACTTTTCCCCGTGCTGTTCGTTAATTAACTCTTTTCCTCGGTTTTTCACATGTCGTCTTTAAGACGGGGCTTGAAATAATTCCTGCCTTTCATATTGTTGATGTCCACGAGCAGCAGTACACTCAGCATTATGAGCTCGTCTCAAATGTAAAGAAAAACTTTACTCTTCGTCCGAAGTATATAAGCCAGTCGCTTAATACGTATTATCTTAATGAGTTAAACTGGAATATACCAGTTTTTAATGTTCGCAATTTACCTCAATACATTGGATATCGACCTATTTTTTTTTCCCCTACACGTTCACTTTTAGCCTAAGAGGTTATTCCAGCTACGCACAGACGAGTATGTGAGCTCGTGGGATCAACCTGAGAGAATTTGCTAACACTAGCCCTAGCAAGAGCAGTGCTTTGCTGAATCTACCGCCGGATCGGAAACGCGACCTACTGAACAGATCCGAGGAGCTCACTTAGTACGACTATTTACATACGAATACAATTCAAAATGAATCCAATACATTAAACGGTAATCTGATCTCGTATAGGGATCGTTGACCTTTTAGGGTAGGGTTGGGGTCGGATGTGACTTTACGACGTAAATATCTTCCTGGTCACGATTTCGTTGTAATGCATCTCATATCAAAATTACACTCCTAATTAAGAACTCGCATTTGCATTAATCTAAATCAAAATTATCAAAATTATAAATGACCTTCGAAAAAACCCACCACTACATTATCGGATGAATTAAGGCATATACGTTGTCAGAGTTAAAGAATAGGACATAGAGCACCTTCCATTTAGAAAAAAAATATTCTCATTACTTTTGCTAAATAACAAAACGCGAGGGGTAACGCGTGTAAAAATTACTAATCAAATAAAAAAAACATTAACGATCGTCATACTGTTCTCTCTATGTGAGACGTTTACGTACAAAATGAGGCACCAGTTGAATGCGTGCTAACATAAAGCGCTATTCATATGTAGCGTACGTGACGTGAAATTAAAAAATAAACATAATTACTTTTATGCGTGCACGATGCCGAGATTGTTTAAGCTCTCACGAATCGGCCATCTTTGTGTTCAAAGTGTACGGACAAACCGATCAAAGATTAGATTTTATTCATAAACTAATGTAATGTGACGGAAGACACAGGCGGAAACTTGCAAAGTTCTATCGTCGTTAAATAAGTTTGAATAGCCCCAAGCTAGACTGTCAAGAACGTCATGTCAACTTGACGTTTGACAACTGAGCAGTTATTCACTCCTACGCTCTGCAACCCATTGAAATCTGGTCAGGAAACGACAAAGGAAAGATTAACTCGTTAATCAACTGTCGGCGAACACGTGTAGCAATAGTCGCAAGGCAATGTGTCTCGGTTCAGGCTGAAAATGATCTAAAATGGAAAAAATAGACATGTCAACATTTGTCGCGTACAAACAAAGGGGAAATAAATCAGAGCGAACCAACAAGAGCTGAACTCCCGTGCCGGTCGCGTCCTTCAACTAAAGCCTAAAATCCGAGGGGCACAAAGAAAACGCACGGATCAAGATTAACCGGTACACCGCGTCCTACATTCTGGCTTACCGCATTATTTTTTCGAACTGGCAATCACCATAAATTTAAATTTGGATCTTGAGCTCTTAAGAATAGGACGCAACTAGAATTTTCGAATCTCATCCTGTTATGTTGGTATGACTGGATGTTCGTACCATTTTTGGACAACGTAACGATAATTCCGAGACAGCGTAATGAAATTTAATTGGAGACAGAGACAAATGGTTGTCGGAGATTCAATTTGGCGCCATTGGGATTGCGTAATTTTTTTTTCTTTCTAAAACAAAAACTGAGCTATTCTTCGTGATGTCACAAAAATATATTAAGAGCGGTGATCCTCAAAACCAATAGATATAAAAACATGACTCTTCTAAATTATAGGAAATTAAAGAAGCAAAGATACAACAAAGAATTGCAATTTTAACTCTAGTAATATTAAAAGTAAATATGCCTTAATATGTATAATAAAATTAACTAATACAGAGTGGTTGGTTCTATTTGGTTCAACACTTCCAGTTTTGTATAGATCTGTCCTACAAAATATCCCTAACTACAAACTTAAAGTACTATATATATAAACATACGCATGTTTTACAAGCTCAAGATTTTAATCTTTGAAAGCAAAAAAAAAGCGTACGAAATTATGGCTATAACATGACAACTTACACCCAATACCCATCAAAAACACATAAAGTCGTTCGGAGAGAGCGATTATCGTCTCGTGCGTTGCCCTATAAAAACGCAAGCTTATTACAACACTGAATATGATAACACGGTAAACATTGACTGTCGTGTGACGTCACTTTGTAATACCCGCGGATTTCCAAGGATTATCGAATTTTAAATGGCGGACGATATTTTTTTCGTAGCGTCGGAAATAGATGCTTCAATCTTTACGTACTGGGTCCTAGATCCCGCGGTAGACCCAAGCGACGCTGGTTGGATGTGATAAAGGCGGATATGGAGGACAATAACCTCACCCAAAGGATACCGAGGATCGGGCAAAATGGAGGAATTGACGCAGGAAAGCTGACCTTGGCACTGGACTGGGAAATCGCTAGGAAGAAGAAGAAGAAGTATTGCTATTGTGGGTTGAGGGGGACGCGGCTTTAAGACATGGGTCCATGGAAGGTAAATGACACGAAACACTGATGAATAGTCCGGTAGGTTTTTTCGGGTGCGTATGGCGCTCATAGTCCCAGTATTATATCATTCTTCGGTTATCATAGTACAGGGGGCTCAGGTATAGCTTAGGGTCAGATGACCGGGTGTGGGGAGACACCGGGCTGGTTTTAGCCGGTAGGAGTCCGGTACGCCCCTCCACCTTTCCCCAGGCGGAGGTAGTCCAAGAGGATTTCCCCCCCCAAAAAAAAAAGGGTCATGTGACCATTTATCATTTGTCTGCTATAACTTGTTTATTATAAAGCTGAAATTTAGAGAAGTAGGTAGACTTCTGTCAACTTAGGTATATATGATGCAATAACTAACCGTGGCACCAAATATAATATATGATAGTTGAAAAAAGGGAGCTTGCAAACTCATAGGGTTGGCCTATGAATGCGTCTTCAAAAATTAAGTGCTCGAATTACATAACAAAAGTATCTTCTATACGTGCTTCTAGACTCTAAAAATTAAATATAAATAATTACTGCTTATTTTTTGTTACACAATTTATAGTGTTATTATTATTACCTTCAAAGATAATTTGATTGATCTAGCGCCTAAATATAAATGCTTCGTCTTACCTGTGTTAATTGATAATTAGATGATCAATCTGTAACAAAGAGCAAAGTGTTATTAAAAATAATGAAATTGTCGGGTGTCACACAGAGAAACATCTACATATTTGAATTGTTTTAGAAGGTGTGAGTAAATACTTCTTTCTTCCTTCCTATTCACCGGTAGCATAAAGAGTTATACCAGCTACGCTATACCAGGTAAGCTCACGGGCTCAGTCTGTGAAAATTGAATCTACCACGGGACCAGAAGCATGATCCACCGATGAGTTCCGGCGAGAAACTCAGTGGGTTAACAAAACCATGTTCCATCTTCAAGCACACACTTAAAGTTCTTTTTGAAGATCAATGTAGTAGAAAAATATTCATGTTTTACATAATGGTTCATATTAAATTAAATTTAATTTGTTTACGTCGATATGCCGTAAGACTTAAAAAGATGACAGTCTCAACACCAATAATAATATGAAGACAAATTTTAATGATAAAAATATACAAACATTCCTTGATGGTCCAAAATAAAGGGCCGAATATTGAAAAGAAATGAAATAAAATTGAGATCCGATTCATTATCCCTCTTCAAACGAAGCTTAAAGGAGCTTTGAGATAAGTGGAGCCCTCACATTGAATGTGTCCATGGACAACGATTACTATTACATCCGAACGAGGCTACTTTAGTCTACCTTTGTCCGAATTCGTGGCTTGCGAAAACCTATCACACGTTTATTTGAAAGACCCTGGTCAGATATCAATGTGGTTATTCCTGTAATGTAATACGGCTTACGGTGGCCATTTACTACTAGGCTGGCTACTAACTCGTCCACCCATTTTTTTTATTGCTTAGATGGGTGGACGAGCTCATAGCCCACCTGGTGCCCATAGATATCTACGACGTAAATGCGTCACCCACCTTGAGATATCATGTCTCAAGTATAGTTACAATGGCTGCCCCACCCTTCCAACCGAAGCGCATTACTGCTTCACGGCAGAAATAGGCAGGGTGGTGATACCTACCCGCGCGGACTCACAAGAGGTCCTACCACCAGTAATTACGCAAATTATAATGTTGCGGGTTTGATTTTTATTACACGATGTGTTCTAGTATGATAAAATTAAAAAGTATGTAATAAAAGTTATGCTTTTAATATTTACAATAATCATTTAATGACCTTCGAGAAGTATGGTCGTGTGGCTTAGATCCCAAACTAGTTCGACCCGAGCTAGTTCGGGCCAGTCTCATTTAAGACAATTAGGCATTGTCGTTATGCGCGATGGAGATTCTGTCTAACTTGAACAAACCCATCGACGCAGCCCACTAAGTTTCTGGCCGGATCTTTTTTTTTATTGCCTTTGTAGTCAGACGAGCATACGGCCCATCTCATGGTAAGTGGTTACCGTCGCCCATGGACTTCAGCAATGCCAGGAGCAGAGCCAAGCCGCTGTCTACCGCTAGCCAAGTCGCTGCCTACCGCCGATCTTCTCAGTGGATCGCGATTCCGATTCAATAGGCAGGCTGGTAGTAGTCCTACCCTTGTGGGCTGACAAGAGAACCTGTCACCAGTGAGTATCTACCATAAATAGCACGCTAATGAAGTCCTAATTCGTCTCAAATATTGTCTGCCTACAAAATATTTGCCCTGTAAAACAAATGTAGAGATCTATTGACAGCGATTGTCCTATTTACATTAAATTGTAACAATAAACCTGAAATGCTCCTTAAATCTATCACAGTTGAGCCTCTTTTACCACGAAGCAACCTAAAGAATTCAAACGTAATGTACTTGTTATTAATTCCAATCGGTCTAAGTCGGCGATGGTATACTATGAATTATATATGATTATATAGGATAATAAAACGCCACAATATGCACATCCATACTAATATTATAAACCTGAAGAATTTCTTTGTTTGATTGAACGCGCTAATCTCAGGAACTACTGGTCCGAATTGATAACCTCCTCTTTTGAAGTCAGTTAAAAAGCGTTATTTTGGTACCTTATTGAGCGTTATCCCAAAGTGACTATTCCACCCGTGCAAAAGCTAGTCTCTATAGAAAACTCAAAAAAAAAGTGCGTGCGTACAAAGTACACATGTCAGAAGTGAAACTTTTTTGGCGAACTAATTTATAAGTCTTGCTTATATTTATACAAATCTAAAACTTCAGATTTCCGAGACTTAGAGGAAGGGAAAAAGGAAGATATGTTCCCGCCAAAAGTCTGTCAAATGTCAATCTCAAACCTCAGTGTTGACAGTCACATTATGTTTAGATTTCTAAATTGTAAATGACTAATATTTTGCCAATTGAATTGACTAATTTAATTTCATGCTATTTGACTAATGTTCCAAATTCTTTTCATTTCATTTCAATTCCTATTAACATTTTTCACAAAAAAATTATAAAATATTAGGCCGTATGGTATGATACATTTGCCTTTCCAGTTGGAAAAATACAACAACAACTACTACTGACATTTGACAAGTACCGTACTTAATTTCAATAGTAGTTTGATGTCACTTCTGTTGCATACCTGCGTGACGTTCTGTAAAAATTTTACCCGCATGCGCCTAAAGAAGTTTCACTTCAAAAAAAAACTTCTAGAATCGTGTACACAGTGTACACAGTAAATGCATTACAAGCTGTTAGGGTTAATGGCTCTATCCTTTGGACCTCACTAAAATTATCACTAAGCGTTCCCACTTCGTTGCCAACGCGTAACATTAATTAAAAGAGTAATTTCGTTGGACACAATAAGGACGGTATTAAGATAGCAACTAAACACACAGGTGGGACAGAATCAACATTCCAATTTAGATAATATCCGAACTGTGTTGGTTTAGGACTTTGTGTGTGTGTGTACGAGCCTGGGTATTGGGGAGATCAAATGATCAGAGTTATACCAAGTGAATGGTGATTTTGTGCGAAACGTTTTTTACTGATGGTAGGACGTCTTGTGAGTCCGCACGGGTAGGTACCACCACCACGCCTATTTCTGCCGTGAAGCAGTAACGCGTTTCGGTTTGAAGGGTGGGGCAGCCGTTGTAACTATACTGACAACTTAGAACTTATATCTCAAGGTGGGTGGCGCATGTACGTTGTAGATGTCCATGGGCTCCAGTGACCACTTAACCACAGGTGGGCTGTGAGCTTGTCCACCCATTTAAACAATAAAAAAAATCCAAGTAAATGGTGGTTTTTGTCCCAAAATTAAGATTAACGCTAGTCGCTGCTTGAAGTGAATAAACTTAGAGCACTGAAGTAATTTAAGTTAAAGATCAAAGTATTAGAACAGCGTTTCGTGGATATTATGATATCACTGTGTGATCTGGGTAAGCGATAACCATTTTTCGGGTAGGAAATTGAGAAAGAAAAGAAAACCGTAGGTCGTGATATTCAAGTAAAATCCTAGGTCTTCAGATAAAGGGAAAATCGATGTTAAATATTATTTCTTTTTAAATTCCTGTTTTTTTTTATTGCTTAGATGGGTGGACGAGCTCACAGGCCACCTGGTGTTATGTCGTTACTGAAGCTCATATACAACGTAAATGCATCACCCACCTTGACATATAAGTTCTAAGGTCTCAGTATAGTTACAACGGCTGCCCCACCCATCAAACCGGAACGCATTACTGCTTCACGGCAGAAATAGGTAGGGTGGTGGTACCTACCCGTGCGGAGTCACAAGAGGTCCTACCACCAGTAATAAAATAAAGGCAAATACGACCAGCCACTTCAATATTGATATGAAACAGCTCAAGCGATCCGCATAGTCAATGGTCCCGTGAGGGAGGGAGGGAGGGAGAAGGCTCCCAGCTCCAATCCAGTAACATCAAGATGAACGCACTGAAAATAGAAGTGCTTCTGCTTAATTGATTAAATGAATAACATTTTGCTTGAGGAAAGTTTGTTCCCATTACAGCTTCCGACACGATTTTAATACTAGCAATCGGATCTATGACTACGAGTGAGTTATTTGTTACGTTTTAATTAAATAAACTTTAAATACAATTATTAAAGTTTATCTACGAACGAAGTAACAATTAAAAATTAACAGGAAATTTGATAAGCTGCGGATAACCTCTGGGGCAACTTAAAGTTTGAATTTTAACGTATATTTCAAATGTTTTCCTTGCATTAACCGGTGGTAGGACCTCTTGTGAGTCCGCACGGTTAGGTACCACCCCCCTACCTATTTCTGCCGTAAAGCAGCAATGCGTTTCGGTTTGAAGGGTGGGGCAGCCGTTGTAACTATACTGATACCTTAGAACTTATATCTCAAGGTGGGTGGTTAGCTAGCAAGCTATGCTCCTGAGTTTCAAATCGAATGTTTTCGTTCGAACC